AAAAAAAAAAAAAAAACCTCAAAATTTACCTCACTTTAAAACTTAAAGACCCAGGGTCCAAATGTTTTTCCTTTTCAAAAACCAATTGTGTTCGGTTTAGTTCGGTTCGGTTTTTCTCTGGTTTATATCGGGTTTTTTTCTGTTATTCTATAAAGAAAACAAGTCTAGAAAAGTAGAAAGTAGAAATGTCTCATATTACATAACTGTTTCCGAAAAAAGCAATGAAAAACTAGAATAGCAGAAAGTTGATAGATCAGAAGAACAAGATCAATTACCCGACCACTTGTTTGTAGTTGTAAATTTATGGATCCAGGTATCAGAAGAACAAGATCAATTACCCGACCACTTGTTTGTAGTTGTAAATTTATGGATCCAGGTTTTTTTTTCCCCATAGAATTAGAAGAACAAGATCATCAGAAGACATTAGAGTGTACATGCGTCTTACTAAAGAATCATAACACTTTTTTCCACACAGTAGAGGGTAGTTCTCTTCATACGTGAGGTTCTCTGGTAGAATGCTATTGTTTCCAACAACTTGCACATGTACGAATGACATCTCTATTTTCCATTGTTCTAAGGGTGTGTTTGGTTAGTATTTAGCAAGCAAAAAAAGAAAAAAAAAGAAAAAGAAGAAAAACATGAGAAATGTGGTTTCTGGGACCTGACTATGTTGCCACATAAGATTTTAGTTTCCAATTAATCAATTTCCCTTTTTTGCTTCGGTTTTGGTTTCCCGTAAGCTGAGCCGGGTCAGTAAAATGTAAATCCCATTCAGACCAAAATGGGAATAAAATAACTTTTCGGTTTTTCGGTTCGGTTTTGGTTTCCAGACATTCGAAACCAAAACCACACCAAACCTTTCGGTTTTCGATTATTTTTTCGGTTTGGTGCGGTTTTTTTCTTTCCTCGGTTTTTTCGGTTATGGTTCGGCTTTGGTGTGGTTATTTTTTTGGTTATCGGTTTTCAAGTTACAGCCCTAAATGCTGCAAGGGCGGCATCGTGCTGGGTAGCGGGGAATCTTTATAAAAATTATTAGGGGCAAGTTAGTAAAATTGTGCAGATTGAGTCCCAGATGGCAAATTGGTACATGTGGTATTTCGCTGGCGGGAGTCGCTTTGGGCAGTCGTCGAGACATGAATGGCACTACGGGTGTTTAGTTGGGGGGTTTTGGGGAGATAAGAAAAAAATAAGACTATCAAAATTCTTCTTTAGAAAATTTTTTTTTCAGTTTGCTTTCACACTTTGAAATCAAGTGAAATTAAGAGAAACAGTGAGGTGGCATGTTCTTATTAACACATTTTCTAGCTTCAAGGAAATCACTTGAAATCAAATCATGTTAAATAATTTTTTTGTCAGCTTTTTTATTTTATAGTTTATGAGAAATTACCCAAACAGCCCCTAAATTCCAAGAACTTTCAACATTTTGTAGTATATACGTAATGACTATCAAAATCGTACTAAACCCACAATAATTTTTGCAAAAAATCTGCAATATCTTTTGATTAAATTACATTAAACCCCAATAACTTTCAAAATGTCTTTTCATGTTTTTTTTTTTTTTGCTTCAAATTTATGAGGGTTTCTTGACAAGTGGAAACATATACAAATTTTTATACAATTCCAAAACTTGTTAGGGATTCATTGCGATTTTGAAAGCACTGCAAAACACTAAAAGATCTTGGGATTTTACTATAATTTATCATTCTATTTCACTATACATAACTGTCTAAATGTTTTTATCAGAACCTAAACAAATTGAACCAAACATTGAGCTGTTTGTATTTGTATTTAGTAGAAATCTTCTAATGTGAATCCAAGTTCAAATTTTATTCTTTACATCTCTTCATATTTGAATTCGGTATAAATTTCCTTCAAAATTTATCGTAAAATATAGTTACTTAATTTAATATTTTATAATTTATGAAAATAAAATAATTTGGTTACGAATATATTTCATTTGGCTAATAACATAATAGGATGGTTTTATTTAATCAAGAAATGGCTTCTGAAGCATTTATTTTGTAATACAATGTGAAAGTTATAAACCTTGGAATCCATCAAGGGTGTTGTTCGAATCCATGGAAAAAGATTGTTGAATCTATGAAGAACTTCTAATCTACGAAGAAAAGTTAATATAAGAGAATTTTCTATTGATAAATGTTATGCCTCTAGGGCAATGCACTATTTAAATAGAAAAAAAAGTAGACTCCTACTAGGACCTAAATTTTAACAAAATTAGAATTAACAGGACTATACTTAATAGGCTTAGTATTGTTGAAGTTAATCCTAATTCGAAAAGGATTTGAATTAGCTATATCTAAGAATTATAGTCATACTAGAATTCTATTATGAAACACTTTGTAAAGCCTTTAAATAGGCATTCATGAATCCTTCTACCTAAGAGAAAGAAAAAGACAGGGGCTGAGTACTGTAGCTAAAGTATCGAGAGTTAAAAGCAACTTTTTATTTGTTTCTCCCACTAAATCTCTCCTCATATATATTATACTTCTATTTGCTTTGCCATTGATTGCTCCAACAGTGGTATCAAAACCATGAACAATCTAAACGGGATGATATCGCCTTCTATTTCTATATTGGATGGGAAGAATTATCACCGATGGAGAGTGCAGATGAATGTGTTAATTGAATATCAATATATATTGGGTGTCATGGAGAATGGAGTTGTCGATCTCGCAGATAACGCAAGTGAAACCGAGAAGAAAGCCCACTGTGAGATCAAGAAGAAGGATCGAAAGGCGTTATTCTACATCCATGAAGGAGTGAATGATTTAGTTTTTGAGAAGATCGACAGAGCAACTACAGCAAATCAAGTGTGAGATACTTTGGAGACATCATACCATGGAGTTGAAAAGTTGGAAAAAGATAGGCTTCAAACATCGAGACGTTAATTTGAAATTTTAAAGATAGAATCATCGGAAAGTGTTGCAGATTCTATGACTCAAGTACTTACTTTGACAAATCAAATAAAAATAAACGGGGAGAAGGTTGCAGATTTAGTAATTGTGAAGAAGATATTATGATCTCTTATAGTAAAATATGATCATATCGTGGTGGTAATTGAAGAATCAAAGTTTTTGTTCAAGATGACAGTTCATGAGTTGATGAGTACCTTATAAGTTCACGAGCAACGCATGAATGAGAGGTCAACTGAGAATCCCATTGAGAAATCTTTTCAATGTCAAGCTTTTATAAAAAATAACAAAGGAGCACTGTACGAAAGAGACCAGCGAGGAGGAAATTCTAGTGGCAGAGGATGAGGATACGGGAACTACAACAAACTACAATAGTCAAGGACATAGCACTTATAACAACAATCAAAGAGATGACAGTAATCAGAGAAGCAATTATCAGTCAAATTTAAATTATCGAGATCAAAGTCAAGGACGAGGCTTTGGATGTGGTAGAGGAAATTTTAATAAATCAAACAGTGAATGTTACATATGTCATAGATATGGCCACTATGCAAAGGAGTGCAAGCACCAGGATAATTTTCAATCCGAAGAAGAAGTTTGATTTACACAAGAAAGAGGTAATGAAGACAATCACACTTTACTGATGGCCACGACAGCCGGTGAAGTATCAAACTACAACACATGATTTCTTGATACTGGGTGTTCTAATCACATGTATGGAAAGAAAGAGTAGTTCGTGGACCTAGATGAGTCAATGTGGTCCAAAGTCAAGTTTGCCGATGACAATACTATACCACTGATTGGAAAAGGGTGAGTTCTAATCAAGCTGAAGAATGAAGACCATAAGTTTATTTTCTATGTATTCTATGTGTCGAATATGAAGAACAGTTTACTCAGTACGGACCAACTTCTTGAAAAGGGGTATGATCTGCGATTTTCTGATAATCAACTCCTAATCTTTGATATAAGAGGTGTATTTATCCTTAAAGCTCCTATGACAAATAATCGCATGTTTCGAGTTGACATTTAGAACAATATTTATCATTGCTTCAATGCTATTATGAAAGATAAGTCTCGGTTGTGGCATCTTCGATGTGGACATCTGAACTTTCACAGTCTGA